GGCTAAAAGGGCTTTGCATGGAATAATAAAAGTTTATCATTAACTCAATAGTGTGATCAAAGAGCATTATCACAGAATAGACCAACAAGTAAAGGTGGGAAGATAATCCTTTTCTATATGGAATTATTTTAACCTATGTCCTTTTTATCTTATGTACTCTGCAAAATAATAAATTATTGCTTTTGAAAGTGAAACACACATAATTCTGTGTGCTCACTTTAATTCTAATTGTATTTGTAATGTAAACCAGATAAAAATATTTTAGTAATGCCTAGTTAAAAAAAAACAAAAAAAAACAAAAACTTTAATAAGCACCTCAGAACTGGAAAAATCATGAAAAACAGTGTTATTGAGGAAAGTGGATACCAAGATATAATATCTCTCTTATACTCTTTGAAAAATATGTCAAAAGAGTCAAGCCTTTTTAAATGCTGTCAGATTTAGAGAGTATTTGAGAATCATAAAATTGTGCAATTTAAATTTTTATTAAACAGAGAAAGGGGTTTTGTTTCAGGCCAAGCAGCCAACAAGAATTTGTTTTTACAACCACCAGAGGGCGCCAGTGCCTGCAGTATGGTCGGTGTAGGTGTTATCTAATCTTTTGGCCATATTTGAATTTGGACATTGTCAAGCTAAGAAATGCCTTAAAAGAAAATTGATTACTTCTAAAAATATCTATTTGCATTCTATAACACCAAAATAATTTTTGGCTGTTAGGTTAAAAATAGAGTTCACTGGCCTGTTTCTGGTTAAGATTAATTTAACATTATTTTATAATTATTTTCAAATTGAAATTAAATGGATAGCACTTTTCATAATGACTAAAAAGAACATTAATAAAATTATGAACACTAACAATTCATTTAGCACCATATATTTAGCACCAAAATAGATGATAGTTCACACTTAATAAAACATTTTAATTGCAAAGAAACCTCAAAATTGTAGCAGTTTTGGTGGTTGTAATGTATTTGCAGCACCATTAGCCAGTTAATTATTAAACTTTCTAAGTTTTTGATTGGCCTCTCATAAGTCAGAGTTGCACCATGACATCATTTAAAAAATCATTTTGCATGTGTTTAAATACATCTTCCCCCATATATATAACGACAATATAAAAAATCACATGTAAGCAAAGATAACGTTAGACTGATAGAAATCTAACTTGGCTCTCTGTAAACGCCTCAGTAGATAAAGGCTTCCATCCGTATCAAGATTTTCACGCTATGACCCTGCCGGACCTGGGAATGTTGTTACACAGGCAGAGAACATAGACCTCAGGTTCAGCACGATTTTTTCTTCATGGACACATTCACATTCTCTGCTCAGCTTATGCATTCATATAATAAGCAGGGTACAAACACAAAGTGCTTAAAATGGCCTACATATGTATGAGATTTGCTTATGTAGATGTTGTAAGTTGATTTAACATAGTAAGCATGTATTAGTGACAAAAATATACATATGGTTTCAATTCAGATATTCTGAGTACATCGAATTGGTTGAACTTGCCTTAGCATTGGGTCAACTCCGTGCTACAGCTGCCTGGAGCTCTCAAGTGAACGTTTCCATGGTTCCCAGTGAGCATGACCTCGCGGTCAAATGAATTTAGTAGGGACACTGTGATACTTAGACTACAGAACAAAAGCAAAAAGGATATGCCCTGGCTCATTTGGCTCAGCGACTAGAGTGTCGGCCTGTGGTCCAGAGAGACCCGGGTTCGGTTCCCACTAAGGGCACGTACCTCCGTTGCAGTTTGTCCCCGGCCCTGGTTGGGTTGTGTGGGTGGCAACCACTCGATGTGTCCCTTTCATGTCGATGTTTCTCTCTCTCCCTCCCTCCCTCCCTCCCACTCTATCTGAACAAAAAATAAAAAAATGTCCTCAGGTGAGGATAAAAAATGTAAAAAAAGGATAATAAAAATTGTTTCTGCCACATTCTAAAAGCAAGTTGATCTATCATCACCAGGAACATTAAGGCTGTGCCTATGCAACTCAACTACAATTCTGTAAAGAAATCCATCTGTTTAACAGTGAAAATTATAATGTCCCCAGTCTTTCGATGACATGAAAGCCAAAAAAATCTCTATGGTGACCAATTTGTTTTCTTTAACTTTTATACTGAAAAGAGGGTGGTCTGAAAAATCTGTACCATAGAGAGATCCACGCTGTAGAATACGTGTGCCAATGACTAGGCCTTGAATGAAACCTTTTGAAATGAAAACCTCAATACTGACTATTTAAAGCTGCTCTTATGAAATAGCTTATCTCCAGACCCTTTCTGCCTCTGGAGGTAACAGTGAGAAATAGTGATCTTAGCACCGTCGCTGTCTGCTGCGGAAGTATGACACGTTGTATTTATACTAGCAAACTGTCGTTTGCTTTAGCCTGGGAAATAAAACATTTCACATGGCCACATTATAGTACTAACTTTAGAAAGTACAGATAGACTAACAAATATACCCGTTATATTTTCAGTTGAGTTGTTAAATTATAGATAAACTTAGTTCTAGTTGTGATTTGGAACAGACTGTTGAATAAGTTATAAGTGTGTAGACCTTAATCTGATATGTCTGGTGACTCATCTGAATTTTTGATACCTTCAAAGCTTTGTAGTGAAGACATTTTTGTCTTACTAAAACATGGAAAGGTGGGTGTCCTTTGAATTTTTGCAGTTCTAGAGGTTTTAGTTATTTCTAAAAATCCGTTCATATAAACATTTATTACATTATAGCCACCATATAAGAAGCTGAGAGAAATGCGAAGAATTAGAGTTTCTGCCAAGAAATCGCTCCTAAAAACTTCATTTTATCTTAAAGTTTCACATTTATGATCATTTTAATCTTCACAAATTCTATTACTATGGTAATCTTACCTTCCTAATCCTCCGTGAAATAGGTAGCAAACATCATTATTCACTTTTAGAACCAAGAAACCAAGGCACACGAGTAAGCCAGCAACAGAACTGGAAGTAAGAACAGTCATCTTTAGTTTGATAGGAACTTTCTACCTCTATAGACCTAGTACGGAAACAGCAAGGATGGAAACACGTCTGCACAGATCAAGCAAGTATCCTACTAACGAGATTTCTCTTCAGTTGCCTATGGCATGTCAGATAAAACTGGATTGAGGCCTGAATCACATAATTATTTTTTTTCACTGAAGCCTCCAAAAGTATTTATTTTTAACAAAGTCTGTATATGTACCCACAGAAGCAAAGTAGTATAATCAAAACATTTGGTCACCATATCCAGTTTGTAAAACGAATCAGGCCAATTGTCTGTCATCATGGACATCTACACTCCAGATGGGGGATTCTCTCCCATGGAATGGACTCGATTAACTATCTGTCCTCTTCCAATGCATCCCCCTTAAGAAACTACACATGTTCGGGGAATTTTAAACAAGTAGCTTCCTTCTGTTATTTGTTTTCTGAAACCAGCCGTGTGTACTTACTCTATAATTCTATGGCAATATTACATAACCCCATCATATCTCTCTCTCTCTCTCACACACACACACACACACACAGTATATTGCGTTAAATGTCATGACCCAGATAATTGAGTTTTCTCTGAAAGCAATTTCCCAAATAAGGAAACATTGCATTTTCAAAATCTCATGAGTAAAATTTTTATGGTAATATTTATTTCTACAATCACACTAAATTGAGACTAAAATCATGACTGTCTATGGTGTGCACTGGGGTCTTTCAGAGGAGACCCAAAGACCCACGATGCTTGGATTGCTTCTCACCAAATAGTGACAATGAAGAGGTGGTGGTGTCCTTGGCCCTCGGTGTTTCTTTCTGGCATCCTGTACCTCCTGCTGATAGGTCTCAAGATACACTAGACCCTTGGGATAGGCCCTTCTGAAGCTCTTCACCTGATATTTTTGTGCAATAACCCTATTTTTGTGACTTTCATACCTGTCTCCCAAATCTTACTTCTCCTGGGCCTCCAGTTTCCTTAGGGCCTGGCTTTCTACCTTCCAAAGTCACAACCATCTAGTCTAATCCAGTAATTTCTGGCCAGTTCTTAATTCTTCCCTGACTCTTCTGGTTCTGAGCGCGACAGCAAAAGATTTCACGCTCATCAGAAGCTTACGCATCACACAGCGTGGCTCATGACCTGTTCCACCTACAGGCGGACATTGTTATCATGTTCACGTTCTCAAAGCAACATGAAAATAAATGTTTTTAAAAAATAATTTTACAGCAAAATCACTGGTCTGAATTCTTTCCTGAATGTTTTTGTGGGCTTCCTGATGGCAGGGACCATCTCACACCATCTGTGCATTAGCAGAACGTCACCAGCAGTGTGCCTGCACGGAGCAAGCACTCGGCCAAAGAGTACTGATTCAACAGATGACATGAAGCAAAAGGCAGGATTCGAATCTTATATCCGTTGGAGCATAACCTTTTGTGAAGCCATATAAGGTAAAGTGTCTCCAGAATAAAATCTGTGGTTGTTAATTAAATTATTATATCCAGATATCACTGAAGGCTATTTTTCAAACTGTTATTTTGTGGGTATTACAAAGATGGGTGCTGGAGATGTCCCACCACCTCACATATTTTGAATATAATATTTTCAATTTTCCTCAAGTTAACTGCGGAATCATTATTACCTGTGTGTTACATCATCTATTATGTTTGTGTGTGTGTATATACTCATGTACATGTATATACATATACATGCATACACACACACACACACCCCTTACAGGTCAAATATATTTTTCATTCCTTAGGAACATAATATAATTCTTTTGGAAAGCAAGTTTTAGAATTGGATGCATCAACGGTGTCAATACTACATATACAATATTTTAATTTAGGCTTAGAGGTCAGAAAATAGAAAGAGATGGTCTCATGACCTCAAAAGTTTAAACGAACACACTAGACAAACACTAATTTATACAATGATAATAAAAGAAAAACAAGGTTGTTATAAAATATGTATAATATGTGCAAAACTCAATATATATATAGACCTAGGATTCCCAGAAACCATTTCACTTCCTGGAGGAGCAGATGAGCTTATTTAAACCAGTACAGGTAGTTTGACGTTACTCCCGGAAAACAAAGGTTGTCGGTACAAGATCCCCCATAACTCGGAGGGCAGGCTGAACAGGGTACCCCCACCTTATATGGTGCTTCTCCAATCCAGTTGCCCCTAGAAAGAAAAAAAAGGGGGGGGGTAGTATCAATGTTATTGCTCGTTTAAAAAAATTTTAATTGTCATTAAGCACGTGATCACATGTATTGACGTGATGATCTTTTGGAGAAGTTTGTCATTTTGAAAGGCACTGAAATTATATCCATTTCTTATTTGTACAGTAACTCATCATATATATCTTACTTTTAAAACATTTTTCCTCTGAGTTAATTTACAAATAAGAAGTGATGCACAGCAGTGAATAGTGAAATAATTAGTCATGGGACACCAGGCTCGCTGTTCCTTTTAGTCACCACAGCTGTCTCTCGCCTACACTGTCTTCTGGAGCACACAGGCCATATTCACTGGAAGAAAACTCACACCGAGGATATTCTAAGGATAACTGTTTTTTGTGCTTAGGAGAACTTCCTGTTCATTCCTTCATTTCTGAAATATATCCTAAGAATCCCAAAACACTACCCTAAAAGAATATACACACCCCTATGTTCATAGCAGCACTATTTACAATAGCTAAGATCTAGAAACAGCCCAAGTGCCCATCAGTAGATGAGTGGATAAAAAAGCTGTGGTACATTTACACAGTGGAATACTATGCAGCTGTAAGAAAGAAAGATCTCTTATCCTTTGAAATCTAATGAACAAACAAACAAACAAAAACTGATAAATAAAAAAGAACCAAGGCGTGAAAACATGGAACAGACTGAGGAGAGGGAAGGGGGGAAGAGGGCGGGAAGAGATTAACCAAAGAACTTACATGCATATGTGCATTACCCATGGACACAGACAATAGGGGGGTGAAGGCCTGGGGCAGGGAAGAAACTGGGTGGAGGGGGCAATGGGGCAAAAAGGGGGGGACATTTGCAATGCTCTCAACAATAAAGATTTTTTTAAAAGAAATGAAATGAGCAGGAAGTTGTCAAAAGCACAAAGAACAGTTGTAAATGTTCACAAGATTTGTTTCTAAAGTTATAAAATATTGTAGATTCTCATTATTTATAAAATGAGATATAGAAAAGTCTATTCTCATAGTAAGAGAACAATGATTCACAGAAGCAATTAGAAGTGATTTCAAAAACGTTTCCCATATGTACACTCAGAGTCTTTTCTTCTGGTAATGCTACTCATTTTTTTATAACAAACATTTAACTGAATTACTCTGTGTTCTCAGTGTCTTTCTTTATCTGTATTGGTGACCACGATCAAAACAATAATCAAATCACTTTCAGAGAGTTAAATACGGCCACATTGCTTTACTGTTATGTAGCTCTTTTAGTTATAAAGGAGAGAGTAGTTATTGTATTTTCAGTAGCCTGGTGATTAGTAACTAGAGTACTAGGAAATAGAAATACAGCTAACAATGCGAAGGAAATTGGATGGTTAGGAGAAAATTTGGTTGTCAATAATAAAAAGGGTAGAAGAAAAGACAACAGTAGATAAGAGGCTAGAATGTGAGACAGGTGGTTCTCACCTTTTTAAAGACCTGAGTCAGACCAAACAGCAACTCAGCACACGTATCTACACTATAGATTCTACAGTTAAAAATTCACACTTGTTCTATAAAATATTTATCTATACACATGTAAAACATGCTGATTAACTCTTCATATTACAAAATGAGATAAGATTCCAAGGCTGTTCACCCCTATCTAGTTTGTTCTACACTCTGACCTCCAGATAAGCTTCCTCAAGCCTAATTTTGATAATGTCACAAGCCTGCTCAGAGACCTCCGAGAAGCCCATTTTCTTATGAGTGTAGCTCACTCCTTTGTCCTAATTCCTCCTATTCTATATTCAAAATCCTATTTCTCTATGTATCTTTACCCAAAGCTATATCGTTACCAAGTCTATGCTATTTTATATTTTTCTATTTATTCTATATACTTTTTGAAATTATACAGCACCTATTTTTAGTAATATAAATTTAGAAATATAATTTTATTGTATGTAATAATTATATTATAAATATTTAGATAAATCACTGATGTTTATTGAATAGAGAATAATTAATTATATTCAGTAGTCAATCAATTAATAAACATATTATTTATTCTTTTACTTTTTGTCCTAGTCCATGGAATTAAACCCACCCACCCCCATCTCTTTCTCCCCTACCCCACCTCCTACTTTTCCCCCTAAAAAACAGTTAGGCAGGAGATAACTTCATACTGGCACTAGAAGAATCAGATTCACATATCAGTCAGGATTATAAAACATTCTTCATTGCCTAGGTTTCAAAATAATGGTTTTTTATCACAACAGATACAGCATCTAAACACAGTATCTTAATCTCTTGGACCCATAAAAGAGTCAAATCTTTCATCAATGGTATTAGAAATTCTAGTCATTGGCCAAAAACAGAGAAATTAAATGAATGAAATAAAAATATCTTTCATCATTTGGGGACTCCTTGGCCTGTTTATGTCAGAAAGAAGGGTAAAAGCTTAATAGGAAAATATAAGGAGTGGGACCGAGAACATCAAACAAATGCAATTTCATGCTGTCCATGATGCAGACACTTTCCACTTTCCAGATCTTATCGTTCTAATCATTGTGAAGAGGGTCCATCGGGGAACTCGCTATTTCTCTAACTTTGTGAAAACACTGGCATACTACCATATAAATGAGTAATGCAGTGTTTGTGAAACATTTTCTCATTCCCTCCCCATACTGGCAATGCTGGAGAAAATCTTTGTTTGGGACTTACTTTGGAAAACACCAAGAGTGTCATAAATCCTTTGCACATTTTGGTTTTTACTCCAAATGGGAACAGATTCATGAATAAATATTGCAATCTTTTATCGTCTGAAGAGTTATTATTATCAAGAAGGCATTTTATCAAATGTTAACACATGCTTTTTTATTGTAAAAACTGTTTATAAATATGGCTATATTTTAGAATCTTTAATCAATCTCCACAATACTTTTTATGTATGCCATAGGATGAAATTACTAAATAATTTTTAATATTGAAATTTAACTCACAGCAAAGCCTCTAGTTAAAAAGAAGGCACAGCTTGTAAATGTTCCCTTCTGATATTGAATGCCTCCTTAACCATCTATGGAATTAATAAACTATAATTTTAAATTTTACTCTTAAAACAAAGAAGGAAGAAAGTCTTGTTTTGCTTTCCTAGTGAAAGAGGTAAGTTGACATTTTAGCCCAGACAGATAGGAATACTGTGGTGTTAATAAATTCCCTAGAAGATTGTGTTCTGATGCCTTTTTATGCAACTATCAAAAGCCTGAAAGTACGAGTTTACTTTCCAATGACCATGACAGAGGAAAGATGGTGAGGAGAATTTAATGAATCTTTATACTCAGATTATTTTTCCACCAGTTTTAGCCCAGAATCCCTTTCCTTGTGAGGAGAAACCTTTCAGCTCATCTCTTTTCAGTATATGGGAATAATGGAGGATTCAAGACCAGAGTCCTGCGAATATTAAAATATTCATAGAATCACAAAAGGCTCAAGGAAGTAGCATGCCCCCGGGACTTACTTTGGAGCATAGTTGCACACCAGGTACACTGCACGTCGCCACACAGTCCCCCACACATTCATGTTCTGGCAAGTATGAATGGCACATCCTATCCGATTGGAGGTGGCCCAAACCATCTGTGAAAATAAACCCATATACCGTTCCTGAAGTCAGAGCTACAAAAAAAATTGCATGTTCACCAAAATAGTGAAGACCATTTTTTAAAAGTATGAATCAAAAACTGATAAGACAATTGAAATACCTGTGTATAGTGTGTACACATGGGGCCAAAACATCTCATAGGACATCTGGGGTTGCAATCCTGGGGATATGGAAAAGCGTAGTCTTTCACTTCATCATACCACGGCTTGACCAACTGGAGAATAGAGCGATATCTAGATACCAAGAAAAAGAACGAGAACTTAGAGTACAGTAGTGGTAGTACACAGTAGGCTCATTAAATTGGAAGTTAATTGTTTGATATGAAGATTATTTATGATGAATCAAGAGCATACCCACCCCTCACAATTACCATCACTACCTCGTAGAATCCTCTGTTCCTTCAAGTACAGGGCCAACATCAAAATGCCCAGGGCTGGAGCAAGTGATCCCATATTTGTGTAAGTATGGGTTTAGTCATTCCAAATCAGACATGTAGATATTTCAGGAATCATCACCTTTATTTTGTTTTTTTTAATCCATGTCAAAACTTTCTTCTGTAAGAATCTTATACACCCTTAAGAACTGCTATATTAAAGAAGTTGCAATGCTAGTACTCAGTGTGGGTTTTTCCCCCTTAAACTGAGATCACTTTTATTTTAATAATAGCACACCTGATGTTCCTCCCCTACCTGGAAGAGACTGGGTCTTTGGAATGTTGGATGATGACATTCCACAGTGGTAGGAAAATTATCTCATCATGGGGAACAACTTTTCCATAATTCCATATACTTGCATATATATTTATGTGTGTGTATATGTAAATACACATATATATGTAAATATGTATGTAAATATATGTAAATATATATAATTTTTATCACACACACAGCTATATGAAATAAAGTTGCGGACACAGGTCCTAGCACATGCTTGATCCTTTCAAAGATGCTGGGATCTAGGGAAGAATACAGGCTAAGCGAGGGTGCCTCAAGTCTGAAAGGGGAAACTGGTCTTATTAGGCCCTTTTAACCAATCATATACTCCTTCAGATATCTAACATAGTCATAGGCCAAGCATCCGTGCCAGGCATACAGTAAGCACTCAATCAATAGTTGCTGATAAGACTTGAAATTGGTGGCCCTGCTCCTTGGAGTCCGAATGCGATGAAGTTGTGTGGATAAATGATGTCCGTGAAACTGCTCCCTACCTTCCAGTTCGTACAGATAGATTCTGGCCCAGAAATCTCAGTAAGTAAGAAGGTCCATGGTCCCAGATGCAAGTCGCCGCCCAAGCCTCGGCTGATTTTGCAAGATTTTCATCCCAAACCTGTGAAGGGGAAAAAGCCTTTAGCTTTGCCAGGTTTGCTGGTAAGAAACAAAAAGTAAGAGGAAAGAAATGGTGCTACTAGGTCATAACGTTCTTTCACGCTGGTTCCTGAGACTGTTTTCTCTAAAACAAAGCAAATTCAGACCATTGACATGTAAAGTTCAACAATGTAAGATGATGACACCACAAAAAACGTTGTTGTTTTTATAGTGGCCCTAGAACTAAAGTCCAGACATCAGTTTTAGTAAAGGGTTGGTTGACAAAAATGCCATATCTAGATGTCACCGGGGACACCTCAGACCGACTACTGAATATGAATCCATCAAAGTCCGTTGATTTCCCTAGAGGCCTTCTTTACAGCAACAAGGAGCCAGGCTCTCAATATAGCTTAAAAATGAACATGATCAAAATTATTCAAACCAGTTTATCAAAATTAATAATGTCTATTAGTGTACTGCAATTTTCACAGGTCAAGCTATATTGTAATGTAATGAATCCTATGGAGCTTTCCAATTTTATATCATTTGAACCTTTGGTAGTAATACTAATAGTGTTAGTTGGTAGGAACTAGAAACAAACGACGATAAAAAGTAACGTGACCATGCTACATGAGGCTGCTATAAAATAGCACATTATGATCTAATTAAATAAATTTTTTAAAAATAGTAATTATTCTCGAAAAGGAAGGTGTTTAAATTGATGAGGGTGTTATTGGTGTACAATGGCTTTTCTATAGTTAAAAAATTTGTGGGATAAAATTGAAATGAGCCTTAGATTGAGTATAGATTTATATTAGTTACCATATGGATTGACACTCTCATCTCCAAAGCTGTATGGGGAAATCAAGCTCTGAGCGTCTGTGGACCTGCCAACAATAAGGCAACACTAAAATGATGATCTTGTTTCTAGCAAGTTACAAGTTATAAAACAAAGTCGAGAATATTTATAACTCTTGTACAGAAACATAGAAAAAAAAATGCTTTCAAAATGTCTCCCTAGTGAAAATATAATATACTGAAGTATTTATCTGCTGTAAAAGAATTTTAATTTTTATCTTTTTAGTTCAATATCATGCCATTATTTTATAAATTATTTAAATATTGGTATAATAGTCTGAAAAAAATTTGTTCAAATTGTGATCAGACAGTGGACAGCAGCATATTTTAGAAGGTAAGACCCTGTATGAAAAAAAAAGTGATAGTTTTAAATTAACTCAAATTCAACTGAAGCTCCATATATGAGGCATGTTTGATGTGCTTCCATGAATCATTGTTTTCCTCCTTTTCCTAGTCTTCCTTTTCTTTTTTTTTTTTATCCTCACCCGAGGACACCCTTCCATTTTTTTGTTCAGGTAGAGCGGGAGGGAGAGAGAGGAAGAGAGAGAGAGAGAGAGAGAAACATCGACGTGACAGGGAGACATCAAGTGGCTGCCACCCACACGACCAACCAGGGCCGGGGACAAACTGCAACCGAGGTACATGCCCTTAGCGGGAACCGAACCCTGGTCTCTCGGGACCGCAGGCTTATGCTCTAACCGCTGAGCCAAACCGGCCAGGGCTAGTCTTCCTTTTCTTATCACCCTTCTGTTGACTTTCTCTTCCACCAGGTTGTGTAGGGCTAAGCAAGACTCCCTACCTTAGGGTCAATAGCTTTCAGTCAAACTCTTGAGACTGTTTGACCATAACACTGAACAGGCATAATTTTCAAGGATAATGGGATACATAGATTTATTTAATATAACCATGCATTTAAGTGAAAGGAAATTTAAGTTTAGTGACTTTAAAATAAAATAGGAAAGAAAAAAAAAAACAATTATAGGTGAACTCTTCAGAGATATTGTCACCACAGAAGCCATGGCAGCTGCCCTCCCAAGAAATGTGTTAGTTACTCTCACAGGTTGTTTTTAATTAGAAAAACAAAGTCATACCCATACATTGATCTAGAATTACATTAAAATAAACTCAGAAAATGTATATAAAATCAGAATAACTTAGAAAAGATCTAGAGTAATTCTAAGGTGATAACGTCAAGTCCCCTTTGCCCGTGTACCCAGAAAAAATTGCTCAAGGAGCTGTAGAAATGCCCACTTTTAGTTGTCCAGAATCTAATTTGCCCATTTTTTGAATTGAATTAAATGTGGCACAATATTACGTAATACCATTTTAATAAATGATCAATAGTAAATACATTATCAAAAATGAATAACACTCCTACAATATTTTATAAGCTAATGTCTATTTATCTGTTTTTTTCTCTGAATTGATATCATGCTATTTTACAATTATGAAAAAAATTTGTACTACTTTTTTTCAAAGTCAATTACTTAGCTCAGTAAAATAATTATTTGACAGAAATTTTATGAATTATTTTTTCAAACTTCTCCTTTGTTTTATTTGTGAAAATTGGGAAAAGTATATCAATAATATGAAATAAATGTATAATGAAAATCATAGAATATTAAGGCTGAATTGAACTTTTAAAAGCACTTATTTGGCTGATAGTGAATTTATTATTTATTCTTCTGAAGGTTTTGAATAAAATATGAATTTATGCCATATGGTTTACAGTTCATTGAAATCAAAACAACACAATTAATTCACAAAGGAATTCAGATGGAATAGCATCAACCCATTTTGTTCCCCTAGAGTGTTCTTAACTAACTGTAGTCACTTGAGAAAAAAAATACATGCAAGTACTATTTACAATTGAAATTGTAAATTTCAGCGTGCACTCAGATCAATAAGTGGTAAAAACACTTAATTCGAGTCTTGTCCTGAAATATCAGCACGGCATGCACAAATAACATTGACCTAAGAATAAAAAAAATCTTGTGTTCTAACCCTGTTCTCCTGCTAAGATCATCTGTGACTGAGGGCATGTTAATTATTCTGTCTCCCACTTAACTCATCTATAAAATAAGATTGGATGAGGTCATCTCTGGAGTACCTTTCATCTTCAATTTCTCATGACTTAATATACTTGACTATCCCCAGCATAGAGCCAGGAAGATCTATGTTCTATTGGTCTGAAGGAAGGTGTTGAAGCCTGATGAGCACTGGCCAGGTTCCACACCGACAGCAGGTCATTTTGCCTCCCTAGGAAAGAGATGATCAGCTGTCCCTTTGATGCCCACTACAGGGTGAGTCAGAGGTCCTGTACTCTGTGGGGCTCTGTCCCCACGCAGTACTCACACCCATCTGTGTAGAAGGGAATACCCAGCTTGTGTAGGGAGCGCTGTAATTTGGGGATTACATCAATCACATCTGTTGGTAAAATTGAGATCTGCATTTGTGCCTCTGTCTTTCTTCATTGGTTACAACTCCCTCGAGGAGGTGGGTAAATTATGTATCTCCTTAATCTCCAGTGATATTTAAATGTATTAATTTAATAAAGGTCTTTGAAGTTTGAAAATAGCAAGCGATGTTTACTTTATTTAATAACAATAGGAAATTTCAACAAAATAATTGGGGGCTGAAGGGAGTGGCCCACTGTGATCTATTCTTTCTTAATCAGAAGCTCTAAATTGTCAATGGATGTCACCAGTGTAACCATGTGAAAGAATTTTTAACAATTTATAAAACTTCAGGAAGTGAATTGTAAATTACTATGCATTTAAGTTGGTATATATATTTCTGCTGAATTTCTCTGAGCATCTGTGGCATTGATTCTAAATGACTTTAATATTATTTTCTATAAATACAACAGAACAAAGAAGGGCACACATGTACACTGACTTCACATTCTGTGGAATGCCTAGTAAGTGGTACAGTACATTATTGTTACCTGTTGTTGGAAGAACTGGACACCTGGATACTTACTTCGCTTTTATTCAACCACATTCAACATTCTGTATTCCTTCTACATGGATAAGATGCTTTCAAGATAATTTAGTTGTAACACTTAAAATCTGATCTTGCCTCGTAAACATAAGGCAAGCCCTAGCCAGTTTGGCTCAGCTATTAATTCATCACAGGTTCAATTCTGGGTCAAGGGCATGTACCTTAGTTGCAGGTTCAATTCCTGGTCCTGGTTGGGGTCATGTGGGAGGCAACCAATGGATGTGTCTCTCTCACATTTCTCTCTGTCTCTCTCAGTCTCTCCCTTCCCCTCTCTCCCTCCATCTCCCACCTTCCCTACCTCCCTTCCACGCTATCTAAAAATCAATTGAAAAATGTCTTGAGGTGAGGACTAACAAATAAACAAAAAAATAAAAATGAGGCAAAAATCAAGATTATGCATGAACCCACTAGAAGCTAGATAATATAATTAAATTATTTGAATCACAAAATAAAGATAGCTTAAGACACTGTCGGAGAATGCATATGCTTGTAGGTATGCCCCATTGACCCACGTGGTTTTCTTCCATTCTTTGATATTAAAAGCCATTTAGTTGGTCAGCTCATAAACTAAGAGAGCTTTGGACTCAAATGTTCACCATGAGCTATTCTGCTTATAAAGTCAGCGCCTTGTCTGTGGCAACCACATAGCTGGATGAAGCTATGAGCGATCCAGACTTCAAACTGATGTCATTCAAATACCTAAAAGACTTGTGGCTCCGAGAGATAGGAGGGATGTGACAAGAATGCAGATTCTCATTAAGTTCAGAGGTCTTTAGAGCTGGAGCCAAAGAAATATAAAATCAAGTGAAAGAATAGTGCAGCACGGAGAAGATTGTTGACATTCATGAGTAGACAGAAGAATTAGAGAATGGTGCGCTCTGGCCAGGGATGAGGTTGTGTTATCGGCAGTTTCTGTAAGTCTGGTATCCACAACAGAGTGGCAGCCAAATTCGGGGAGCACAGTGACAATATCTCTAGACAACAAGAAATTCAGTCTAACTGGACAGCACCTAAAATTGCTTGGGAATATATCTCCAATATTGTTTGAGGTGACATACTGATTTTTTTTAAGTGGATAACATCTTTTAATTCCAAACATAATTCCAAATGTAAGAATTAAATGTAGAAGTTTTTGAAAGAATTAAATTGAAGATATTAAAA